TTGAAATGCAACTAAGATTCTGCTCACAACTGGTGGTTCCCACTTTATTCAGATAAAACTAAATACATTTAAAAACAAAAAACAAAAGGAGTTACCAATAAAATGTCTTAACTATTTTTTTTTCTATTTCTCTAGTTTCACACTCTTGAGACATCCTTGTTTCCCTGCTTTCTTTTAAAGACAGGATGGACATTTTTCTTAGGGTATCTATGGCAGCTCTTTTCTCTGTCTCCAAGGTTTTGCTCCCAAAGTATGGAAGCAGTATCTTCTCGCTTTAAAATCTTTGCCCATCTTTTTACTTATTTATTTATTAAATTTAAATTAGTTTTATTTTATGTATACAAGTATTTTGTCTGTGTGGACACATATGCACTCTGTATTTACCCGGTGCCTGTGGAGGTCTGAAGAATAAGCTACCCGTGTCCGCAAAGGCCCGAGGAGGGAATCTCCTAGAATCGGAGTGATGGAGACCTGTCATGTAGATGCTAGGAATGGAGCCTGGGTCCTCTGCAAAAGCAGCAAGTGATTTTAACTACTGAGGGAGCCATCTTTCCAGGCGCTGAGCACCTTGTTTATAACTTCTCATGGTCCTGGTCTTCATAGATCAAGTTTAGGTGCTCCAAGAAACGGCTGCACTTCATTTCTCTATAGCAGTTACCGCTTAATAATACACTCACAATTTTATTGTGCACCTCCAATTTGAACACATCTGCTCTATCGGGAAGCGATTTTTAGTTACAGCTACTACTACTGACTTCTTGGTGCTAGAATAGTGCATAGCATCCATGGGTGGGAAAAATACTCCGGAGTGACATGGCAGATATTCAATAACCACTTGTTGACTAAACAGAAGATTTATCATTCTTTATGAATTAAACTTGGTGCTTTTGGTATTTTACCACTAACTAGTTGCAGCATTGGGGGCCTTAGTAACATGTACTACTTCATTCTAGCTGTATTTTCGGAGAGAATTTCAGTTCACTTGCAAAAACAATTTTAAATATATGATACACACATGCAAGCGAGGAAGATTTCAGTTATATGACACACATATGTGTATACATCTTGGATTATGATATGCTTATTTTTTTAAAGTGGTGTGGTGTGTATGATGTATGCACAGGTATCTCTGTGTGTGTGGGCATGGTGTGTATGTATGGTGTGTGTGGTGTATATGTATGGTATGTGGTGTGTGTGTTTGTGTAGGTATGTGGTGTGTATGTATGGCATGTGTGTGTGGTGTATATGTATGGCGTGTGGTGTGTGTATATGTATGTGTTTGTGTGATGTGTACATGTTTTTCCCTGTATGTGCATGTGGGGATCAGAAGTTGACTTTATCCCCCTCAATCATTTTCCAGCTTGCTTTTTTGAGACACGATCTCTTACTTAACCTGGAGCTTGCCAATTTGGCTAGGCTGGTTTTGCAATGAGGCAGTGATCTACTGTCTCTGTTTCCCAGAGTTCTGGGGTCCCAGGTGACTGCTGCCACTCCAGGCTTCTCTTCAGCAGGGATCTGAACTCAGGTCCTCACACTTGCACAGCAAGCCCCTCATTTCCTGAGGCCTCTGCACAGCATCCCTTCTAGTTTCCTTAGAGTAGAGACATGAGCGCTTTCATCTACGTTGTGTAGTTATGGAAACTACATTGGATCTGTCTTTTTTCTTTATTTCATTTTTCTTTTTCTTAGAATTCTGCTATGCAGTTCAGAGTGACCTCTGACCACTCTCATGCTTCTGATTCCCACGTTCTGGGATTCTATGTATAACACCCTGCACAGCATCGCCATGTGTGTAACTCCCTGCCTGGCATCACCATGTGTAACTCCCTGGCCAGCATCACCATGTGTAACACCCTGCCCAGCCTCACCATGTGTAACACCCTGCCCGGCATCACCATTGTGTGTAACTCCTTGCCCAGCCTCACCTCAGTTAACTCACAGTTTTCACCAAACAACAATGGCGACCATCACAACCATGTAAGAAATTAAGAGGAGTTTATTTCTCATCTCTTTAGCTTTTAATTGTCTTTACATTCAGCTTTCACTACATAATGCAATACTGAATTTTCTCACCACTTGGGAAGCTGGCAATAGCTACCTTTACTGCCTGCTCTTTTCTTCCTGACAATTGGTGGAGCTATTATATTATATGTATGACTGTCCAATGAGTAAAAGGCCAGCTGTCACTCTGAGTGACACATAGACCCGTGTCTCTGTTCATTTAATTGAGTGGTCGTGTGGATGGCTGCATGTCACTTTACCTTCAGAAAACTTCTGTTCAACTTCCATTGTATTGAATACATTCTGGGTTTGATGCTTCAAGGAGGAGGTGGTGAAGGCAGAAAGCATTGACAGTTTGACAGATTTGTAAGTCTGAACACAAGTCTGAACACATTTCCTACTTCAATGTGTATATCTTCCGCCAACAGTTGCATCGTTCCTCTTTACAAGTGACAGCTAGTAGGGATTTAATCTTCCATTTTTATAAAGGGAAAACAGATTTTTGAAACACCTAAGAGTTGAGCTAATCTATTTTTAAGATTTGGACATAGTTCCGTAACAAGGTTCCTCTATAGTTGAATGGGAATAATAAAACCATGGCTGTGTCAACCCGATTGTACCTGTCCTCTTGTTCCAAGTTAAGGCAACCGTGTGTGTCCATAGTTGGTCTCCTTGATGTTACTGAGTCACAAGGATGAGCCTGGAAATGAAGTGGTCTGCTTAAATGACTACAGTTGATGGTCAGTAAACTGGTGTTTCTCTTAGCAGCAAATAGTTTTGTCTTAAGTGTCCTGTGATGTTAAGCGAAAATTCTAAATTGTCATAGACCTGGAGGCATAGTCCTCTGTTTGTTTTAATAATCCATTATAAAAGTTAAGAGTTACACTCATCAGTTTTGGATTTGGGAGTAGGTAGAGGAGAGTCCTTTATTTTCACTCTAAAAGTTGGAGGAGTCCAGGCAATCGATCCTTCATCCCAACACCAGTGCCACCACATTTGTGAGGAGCCTGACACTCAGGTTGGGTCTGGAGATTAATTCTTTTAAAACTGTGTCTTTGGGCAAGGCGTGGAGACCAGCTTTAGTAAGATGAACACAGCAGAGAGGGCTAATGCATTCACAAAAATTCATTTTCTTCTCTGTCTGGTCAGATCAGCAGATTAATTTTCCTATCTTCTTCGGGTTATTTAAGACGATGAGTCTGAGTTTTGTGCTGGAGAAACTGGAATGAATCGATAGGTATCAACTTTTTGCTCATGTGCTCAGTGCTTAAGAAACAAGCATCTTCTCTCTGGTTGAGTGCAGGCCTTGTGAGATGGAACCTCAGGATGGAAATATCTGGAATTCCTGGTTAGGAATTGCTCAGCTAGGAGCATCTGTATTAGTGTATACATGATTCTCCCTTTCTCCCTCCTCCTTCTCTCCTTCTCCCTCCCCCTCTCTCTTTATGTTCCCTCTCTCTCTTTCTGCCCCCCTACCCGCCATATGTGTATGTGTATGTGTGTGTGTGTGTGTGTGAGTGTGTGTGTATATTGGATGACATAACAGTCTTTTAGCTATGGTGAATAGGAAGAAGGTACCTGGGGTGAATAGGGTCATTTGAAATTCCTTTGCAGACATAAAGTAGGGGTGATTGATTTTAGAGCGGAGGAAATAAAGACCGCAAACAGAATGCCATATTTTGATCTGATGCAGCCATTGTAAATCACAAACTTATAGCAACTGCATATGTGTCTGGCAAGTCTCCAAGAATAGGCCTACCTATTCTTGGATGGAGAAGGGCCTTGCCAGCACTATCTCCTGTTACTGAACTCTTTGCCAATGATGTACTCAAGAAGAAGACAGTCATTGGCTTCAGTTGTGTATCCACATGGTACCCTCTCAGGTTTCAATGGAAAGTTTCAATCCAACGATTATACATTTGGCCCTGGGTCAAAAAAATGGATCCGAAAATCACCCCAAATTCATGAATCTGGGGAAGTTACTGGTAGGGATCTCTGGGTGCCACAAGGATAAGAAGAAGATAATACATGGTAATGGGAGAGACTAATATAAATCTATTTTATCTATACAGTGAAAATCTATCTATACAATGAAATTGTCAAGGAAATAAGTTAATAAAAATGAGAATATTCTCTTTATTACTTATGGTATAAAATACGGATCTAGAAAAAAGAAAAAGCTAACCTAGATATTTGATGCAGACCAAATAGAATAGTAGTTTGATCAGACGAAAGGGGGGTAATTGGAGAGAGCTGAAGCGAGTGGTATTTGTGAAATTTGTGACATTTGCATAGGGGACGTTGTTTGGCATCTGAGCGATAAGGAGATTTGAAGAAATTGAATGAGATGTGAGACTAGAAGTCAGGGTGTAGGTTAGTTTCAGCATCATCAACAGAGGCAAAGAAATAAAACCCTGATTGTAGTGGTAGTTAGCAGTGTGATGATAGCATATGGATAGATGACTGGAGAGAGGCAGGGGGAGGGAGGGGATGGCACACAAGTAGGAGGAAAAAGGAACGTGGAGGTTGTTTATAGGGGAAGCTTTGTTAAGTAATATGCTGGCTGATGAGTGGTTAATGAGGACTAAGAAAAGGCTATTTGTATTTTCCCTCAGGATCTCTTACTGGGATCATTTCTCTGCATGGTAGCTTTGAGTCAAATACTGCTACAGTATAACAATAAAGAAGTGGTCACTGACTGGCCAAGAGTGAGCCTAAGCAATGGGCATGGCACATTTTTCTATAACACGAGTGTGAACATTTTGAATGTCTTTCATGATAACTGGATAGAGCGGTAGATATTCACGCCAGAAGCTGCAGCGGAGTCCTGAGTGTCTTGAAGTGCTTATGAAGAAGCTGTAGGTACACGGCATTGTGGTCACTGAGTATGTTCAAGCCTGTAAAGATGAGATAGATCATATGAAGGCGAGGTGGATATGCCAGGTTTGAAAATCAACTAATGGTCTTTTTTTTTTTTTTTTTTTTTTTTTTTTTACCAGAAATTTTGGGTGATGAAGTTGGAGGCATATGGACTTTGGGGCTTGTTGGAGAGAGGAGAGATATAAGCATGTGCTTTGAAAATGCTGTTCTGCTAGGGAAGATGAATTAGAGATGAGAAAACTTGGAAAAGTTGAAGCACATAAAACGTTACGGCAATTTCCAGGTAAGAATAGTGGGGGACGTTAAGTAGAGGGGTCAACACATTGATGATGAGAATGGTGAGAAGTTGATGTTTGGAGCTGGAAATGAAAGAACATTGTAACAATCTGTTTTTACAGAGACAAGTAGACACTCTAAAAAGGATTCTGTAATGCTGTGCAGATTTGAAGATGCCATTAAAGATGTTGAAGGAAGGAACTTGGTGTTACAGTATTGTATTTTACATCCAATCCATAGAACAAAGCTATGCTCATCCCCAGAGAACATTCAGAATGCAGTGGCCTCTCATGACTTTCTCCTCCGCTGCTCCACACCAAGCTACCATCTACTCTTGCCTGGTTTGTTATCCAGCTCTTTAGATTCCATATTTCCACTTCGGCTTTCTGTAAACTATTCTCAGTGCTATAGCCAACAATTTCCTTTGAAAATATAAGAACATGCTTCTTAGTGTCTTTCATTTCCTTCTGTTCTTTGAGTGGAGTAAAATTCTATCATCTACAAAAAGCTCCACAGCCTGTCATCTCTGTTTCTCCTCTCCCACCCACATACCCCTACAAACCCAGCTGACCCCCATATCACACCACTGGCTTCTATAATGCAAGCATGCTTTTTCTCTTTCTTTCCAACCCAATGAATAGCATTTCTTATTGTTTAACTTACTTATTATTTTACTATATTATTTTTGTATTTTTATTTATTTTTCTATATTCCTCAATAGAATGTCATATTGAAAATATATATAGTATGTGCTATACACACACACACACACACACACTTACACACTCCTGCTGTTTATAGCCACTTCTTCACAATATTTGTTGAATGAATAAACTTCCCGGGAAATGAAACTACAACAGAAAAATTAAAATTGGAATTTTTTTCTTAAGGAGGTGGAACATTGACAGATAATCTCAGACGAATTTATCTATCTACCAAAAGTTTTGAAACACTTTAAAATTCATTACATAAGTAATCAAGGCACAAAGAAACTACTCAATTGTAAATTCTTAAATGCTAAAACTGGGCTTGCAGAAAGAGATTTGAAGACACACACAGTTAAAAGAGTTTTCATAGACACCTATGTCCCAGATGAAGTGGGAAGGAGGTTAAAGGGAATGGGTCCTGCCATTGCTGTCAATTTCACCTCTTCATTAGGAACACAAGTGGCAGGGAGAAGGTACAGCTTGTTGGAAGGGCTTGGAGAACGTTTTGTTGTGTATCTCTGAGATAGTTAGAAGTAATGGCTGAGAAACATATGACATCATGCATCATCACTTTGCTCAAGTCCTGAAATTCAGTAGTGCTGTAACTTGAGCCATAGCTTTTCTTTTGGAGATGTGTTTATAACACAACACACGAAGGGTAAGTGGAAAACACTGCAATCGTGTATGATCTGTTCTAAATATGTCGCATTGAAAAAGGTGAAGCTAATAAAGCCAGCCTTTGAATTGCTTGGTTAATATATCCATTTGTAAATATTGATTGGATTTTTCACTTGTGCCAGGCACAGTTCTGGATAGTGATACAAGATTTAAAAAAATGCTCACTGTTTCTCTTTACAACTGGAAGACACAGGTATGTGAAATAGTAGTTACTTACTGTGCAAAAAATATGATGATAGAGTCCCATAAAGGGTACCATGGGAGGTAATAAGAAAGAAATATCTAACCAATCACAGAATGATATTGTTTGTTCTATCTAGGCTTTAAGTGTGAAGAGGCAGCCTTTCAAGAGAAAATGTTCATGGTTTCCTGTGAACGTGAGTGTGCATGCACAGACAAACATGCACACACACATTCACGCACACACACACCTCTCTCTTTCCATGTGTGTATAATCTCATATCAACAAACGGCAAAATCCTAACATAAAAATAAATTTATGCCATTTTCAATTAATCGAGTTTGAGAGTTGAATTCATAAAAGATACAGCATCTTTATAGGAGATGGTTCAATAGTTAAAATTTGAGAGTGAGGTTCAGGGCAAAGGCTGGATTATAAAGTGCTATTTCACTATTAGGAGTTGTATGTAGACAATGGCTAAAGCTGCCAGTGTGAATGAGATCACTCAGGGAGTCAAGACGAAGAGAGGGCTAAGAATAATCTCTTCTGATTTGGTGTCTGGAGAGAAACCTGGGAAAGAAATGTTGGAAAAATATCCAGAGAATCTAAATCAGAACCTAGGGACCAATTAGAATGTCAAACAGGGGAAATTAATAAAAACAAAGAAACCAAAGCACACAAAAATAACCTTGTCAAGTGATTCAGCCAGAATGATGGCAATGAAGTACAGCTGGCAGAGGGACCAAACTGTTGATAGTCTGTGAAGTGATGAGCAGGCTCAGAGTTGTAAAATGATTTTTTTTCATCCTTAGTGTATCCTGCCAAAAATAATTTAGGAAACAGAAATAAATCAGGTAACAAGTTCTGGGTGTGACCTTTCCACCCTGGTGACAAACGTTACGTTATCACCTGGTTTCCGTTAGTCTCATAAAGGTATAAGGTCCCTCTGCCCAATTCAGGTTTGGATGGAGAACACATAATTTGTGGAGTTTTACAAACAAATCAGGTCTATCATGCCGAGAGGAAGGTAGAGCATGGATCCAATTACGCAGGCTCTGTCTCTCTCCAGCTCAGGTTTTCTTGTCCTCTTCGTTCCTCTAAAGTTTCTCTGTGGCTTTTAAATCCCACCCTTTGGACCCACACAATATTCACCTTGTTGTGGGCCATGGTCTTTCTGAAGGGTCAAATCACAGAAACTAATAAAATGCAGATAATAACATTTTGTTGACCATATGGCCCATCTATTTCTTACCGAGTTTAGGGATGTCGTGTAGGGCAAGTGGGAAGTGGGCACTGAGATGCTTAAGGATGCTGGTGGGAAGTGCTGTGATTACTGACTGGACAAAATGCGGGTGAGATGGTCTGTGTCTAATCCTCTGTGGCTTCCTGTATGACACACTGTAATGAAAACACCACCACAAATTACAAGAGTTGTCAAAACAGGCTACTGGGAAACTTCTTTACTCTGGAGTTTGTTAACCAAAGATAAATAGCATGTTGCAGGGTACACATAGCTGCCTTCTTTTCTATGGACGGGCACAGAAGTGGAGCAATTGAGCTATAAGAAAGGTGTAAAGTGTTGGGAACTGAGAGGATATTGTTTTATAAATGGGAACCTAGAAATCAGTTGAAAATGAAATTTCATTCTTGAGGCTAAAAATCATACTTACTTTGTTGTTGTTTTGAGACAGGATTTCACTAGGTAGCCTTGGCTGGACTCAAACTCACAAAGATCCACTTGCCTTAGCCTCTCAAGTGCTGAGATTAAAGGCGTGCACTTCCATGCCCTGTCGACATCTACTTTTGAATGACAAGGACTTAGTTTGAGTGTTGAACGTTGTCTGCCTTTTTAATTTTTTTTTCTGTACTTAACATTGCTTAAGAGATTTGCAGTGTGTGATGTGATAGTTAAATGCAAACTCCTTTCCATAAAATGTTCTAAGCATTTCAGTCCTTCCAGGAGATTTATATATAAAAACCATGTGCTGGTGTCATGCCATACAGCTTCAAGGTTTTGAGAAACTAAAAGTTCTGAACAAAATTCTTATTGGAGCCACAGTGTTACAACAGTAATAGACACAGTGCCAAGCGCTTTCCCAGATTTTCTCATTTACTCCTCTGAAAATCTCTAGTCATGTTCCTTTGTCTCCTCTTGTTATACAGAAGGCGTCAGAGAAGGGTATTCACAGGGGGTTGCAGGGCAGAGTGATGGTCCAACCCAGAGTCTGAGGCCAGAGCCACATCCCATTGCTTAAGGCTGACCTGTTTTATGCCTCTTTCTGCAAACAGTCTAGTGTACTGCCTACGCAAGTCTCATAATGGCATAAAGTAGACAAAACACAGAAACAACTGATAATTTGAATATGAGGTCCGTAGACAATTAAGTGACTTACTTATGATCTCTCACACACAAAAGGCAGACTGGACTGCATTTTAGGTTCCTTACTTCTGTTTTAGACTTGTTGACAGCTAACTCATTTATTTTAGAGTCTAGAATTCTTCCTTGGGGGGAGGGAATCAGGGAAATATTTCTCTTTGTGGATCTCATTGCGTATTGCTCTACTTATATGCAGATGTTTTAATATCATTAACATGTCTCTTAAAGATAAGGGAACAGGAAAGCAAATGAACTTCTCTGTGATTTGTAGTTCCAGGGGTGATGACAAGGTCATTTTTAGGGGTCAGAGAGGGATTTGGAAGAACAAAGTGTTGGGTATAGCTCAGGTCCTCACAGAAGGACCAGCTCTCCAGAAATATGCACCATGACACCCCTTTGAGTTGCTGTGGAGAAAATGAAACAAAGATTTCAGTGCTTTTGATTGAGTGTGAAGCTTCCAATTTGTTGCCGTCCTTCTGTTCTCCCATCCAAAGCTGAGAGGGATGCAGGTAAGGGCAGCAGAGCCATGCCTGGCTCAGCCGTCACCCAGGAACCTTGCTCCTGCAGTAGATGGGACCAAATACGGAGACATACAGACAATGCGCAGAGCAGGAGACCTTAGAATATTCAGTACTTGGTCCTAAAAGGGACCATTAGGGCTATGTACAAAGTCCTTGTCTCAAAATAACTGTCTCAAAATAAACTAACTGTCAGAAAGCAAAAATAAAAACTAAAAACCAAAACCAACCAAACAAAAAAACCAAAAAACCCTTAACCAATAAAACCAAGCAAGACAACAAACTAACCATCTGTTGCTCCAAACCTTAGAAGCCAGTTAGTTAGAAAAACACAGCATTAACATGCATCTATTGCTCTATTAAACAATAGATTGCTCACCAAAACACACACATACACACGCACACACACACACACACACACACACAAAGAAGGCAAAGAAGGCAAAGAAGGTGAAAGACACACGAAACACTGGCCATCTTTCAAGGAAGGGGCTGTCCTGAGTAAGAGGCAATGTGGCAAGAATATTAACACGAGACCCACTGTGAGAATCACTGTAAGGAAAGTACAAAATACTGTGTGGTTCAACAGGGGTGGGAGCACATCTGGTTGTAGGTAATCCAGAAAGTTTTGTAGGGTAGGTAAGGTTTCAACAGGGGAGAGATGTATGTGAGGTGAGAACAGGGGAAATTCTAGCAGAGCGGTTTTCAGAGAGAAGGATTAGGAGGAAGTTTGTATATTTTACCCTAGTTTATTAAAACTACAAACCTTTTAATGGTTATCTGAGGAGAAACATGAAATATACTAAAATTGTATCTGAATTATATGTTGATGGCTATTTTCTTCTAAGGAAGTAGAAGGGAGCTATGTGATCAAAATAATTGAATTAACTGTATGTTCTTTGTAGTAGTTGGGGGACTGAAAAAGAATCAAGTGTCCTAGTAACCAGCCCTAATGGGAAAGTCACTGTTGAGTCAAAAACAGAGGTGGTAGGAGCTTTCGAGTTTCTTGTGCTCCTCCATAATACAAAGTGGAATTTAAAAATGGCAGTATTAATGAAATGAGAAGAAAAATGTTGCAGATCCTATGTGCAAACTATAATTTTAATAACAATTTCTTCCTAAATATGTTAAGTTTACAAAGACCTTTACCTCACACATACTCCCAAACTATTTTACACCTGATAAAAATCTCACAGCTCATCATGCTAGAATGCTTGAGACTCATTAAAACATACCCAATGCATTCATTTCCAGTTATCAAGTAAATGAAAGTTCCAGAAGGTTGCTCTGTTGAGCATAGCCTCTATGACATATGTGTGGCTACTCCCAAGGGCTCTCTTGTGGTGGTTACAGACATGAACTCAGTTCTTAGCTCATGGAGACCCTTAGTGTTTCAGGGTAGAAAGCAAAGTTTCTCAGGAATTCTTAACCAAAGTGTTTAGGTTGCTGACACTCAATCATGTTTCAAGGAATAAAGGCACCATGGAAAGTTAGAACGAGAGAAGCCAGGGTTTTGGGGGAGTTTGACATTGGCCAGTTTTTAGATGTGATTGTGAGGGGTCATGTAAGTAAAGTATAAGCTCGGACAAAAGGAATTTCCTTCAGAGTAAACATGATGTTCTAATCACTCGATTCAGAGCTCTCCTAATCTGGTTCCTCTTAATTCAGTAACAAGATTCTTGTATAAACAGAGAAACGACTAACCAGTTAATCCATGTTAATTAAATAATAGGAAATCCTAAATTTAAATGACTCAAGTGATTAATTTTTAAGAGTTTCAAAGTTTAAGGAAATCATCTAAAGAAGTGGTGTGGGAGAATTGTCTGTATTCTGTCAATCATATTTTAAATAAACGCTGATTGGCCAGGCAGGAAGTATAGGTGGGTCAACCAGACAGGAAGTAGAGGTGGGGTGATGAGAGCAGGAGTATTCTGGGAAGCAGGAAGCTCCCTCTGCACTCCTGCACAGACCACCAAAGAGACAGGATGTAGTCTGCCTGGCTGTGAAAGGTATGGAGCCATGTGGCTAACATAGATAAGAATAATGGGTTAATATAAGCTACAAGAGCAAATAAGAAGACTGCACTAATGGGCCAATCAGTTTATAATCTTATGAAG